AAATAGAATCTTTCATATTCATAATTAAAGAAGCAGCAGCAGATCTTCATCGTTAATCGTGGAAAGTGCACAAGTAGAAAATGAAACGTTAATATGTGTATATATACATACATATAGACACACACATGCACATAGGTATATACAGAAGAGTAAAAATGTAGTGCACATAGATATATGCAAACTGTACAAAATTGAAAATGGGCACACTGTTGACGCGAAATATAACTCTATTTACGATATTATGTCACTAAAGCAAAAAAAAAACAAGAATTGAGAAGCTTATCGCCCATTTGGGTCCATTTGTCCTACGTAAAAAAAAAAAAGGTATCACAATTCGGAATCCAGAATTAAAGCCCGGTAAAACCGGGCTTAATGTATTGTTACTTAAAGTTCCCGAAGCATCCGTGCTGCTCCGCGCCGGGTTTCAGGCACTTTGAGAGCTTTAAGCAAAAACGGACATATTCCGGCGCATTATACAGCGTATTTGTAACCAAGTGCGCCGCGGCGACCGTGCATGTAATGTATACATTACCCGAAGCCGATTCCGCCAGTGGCGTATGTACGCGTACCGTGTCGCGATGTTCGCGGAGCTCATAGTGTGTGTGTGTGTGTGTGTGTGTGCGTGACGTGGTTGTGCGCAGGGATGCGGGGTACGTTCGCGTGTGCGACGTCGGAAGCGCGCACACGTAGAGCCGCTCGCGTTATGTCGTACCCTGGGGCACGATAATTCAGCAGAAAAACCGCGAAACATTTGTCCGGCCGCCATTAATTCCGAAACTGCCCCGACATTTCTGGCGAATCTGCATAAAACCGTAACGTACCACTCGATAATTCGACCGATACGCCTGGCACTCGACCCTTCACCCCCCCTCTTCGCCGTCCTTGCGCCCTTTTCCCCAATCACCTCTCTTCTTCCCCCCAACCCCTCCCCGCTCTGTCTCTTTCCCTCTCTTTCCCGCCGTCAGATGATTCGAATCGTGTTTTATCTGCTGTTTTTTCCCCGCGCTTTGCACTTTCCGCAATTCCCTACAAATCCGCTCGATGTCACCGGTATGCGAGGGAGGAAGCGAATCCTTTGGCGATCGTGTTACACGATACGGCGCAGCCAATAGCATTCTCGCCCGCTTTCCGCCCAAACTATAATACACTCTATGCGCGCACGATCAACTTTCATTTCTCTTTCTCTCTATTTTTATTTCCGCAAGCACCTGTGCATGTTCCTTCGAATGTTGCAGTTTAATTTGTCGCGGGCGTGGACTTCGTCAACTCGCAGCGTGCAAATGTGCGCGGACATTAATACATTTTGAAAATTGCGCAGATTGCGACAATCTTATTCCTCCTAATTTTCATGAACCGCGACTCGCAGCGCTACATATAAGCTTTTAGAAAAAAGGATTGATGCAACACCAAGCCGAGTACGCAGCGCTGTCTTTGCTGTTGCCTGAACAGTTGCAGATTTAGGTTTCAAGTATAGTTTAGATTAAGTTTAAAATATAGGTGAAAATGTTGCGGCTAGAGATAAAAATATTTTTATCGCAACATTTGTAATTAATTTTTCAGAGCCGTAATAATAAAATTGCGAGTATGCAAGAGTAACATTTATACGCAAAGGGAAAGAGCCGCGCGATTGCGCGTTCGTTTGCTTTAACGCCCGTTGCCTTCTAATTAAACCGACCACCGAAAACGAGAAATTGCAAGTGAGCATTTTTTTTGAGGTTGATGCGCACGGCTGGTTTGCAACTCAACAGAAGAGGAGAACAAGTAAAAGTGGAAGCAAAGGATTGAATGAGTCACGACTAATTAATCCTGATTGATATTAATTAAAAGACCCGAGTTTCAGCAAATTAAAGCATTAAATAGAATTTTTTAAAATTTCAAGTGTTTTAGATATTATTTATTATAGTGATCTATGTTGATATCGTAATTGTTATATGTATATATCTTAAGTAAGTAATTATGCGTGCAATTGAAAAGCTTAACTTATAGCACAGAATTCAATAAAAAAAAATTAGGAATATTTTCTTTTTCACTATTTTAGAGACGGACTGAATTAATGTACTCTATTCTTTAACTGCATTTAGCTCGCAGCTCGCCTAAGACCCTCAACACGCTTCTTGTAAAATACAACTTTGCGGAGACCATTGAAGGTCGCAAATAATAATTATAGTAGAGACACAAAGCGGCTCTCGAGAACCTCGTGACGCACCTCTCACAATCCAATCCCACGTCATCCCCTTAAAATCCCTTTGTCGACCCCGATAATCTCACAGTGGACGTGGCATCTCTCGTACTCGGTTTTCTCTTTTTCCAAAATTCTATTACCACCTTCGTCCGCGCGTAGATTTTATAATCTCTTTTCACATTGTGCCAGAGAGAGAGAGAGAGATATATATATATATATATATATCGTTGACTTTTTGAATTACAGCACGTATAATACCAGAAAGAAAATGCTTTCTATATGCCAAAGCGTATTGCAACGTATTCGAATTATTTATACCTCTTTCTTGTTTTTCCTCAAATAAATAAGAAAAATTTTTATAATTTTTGTAACCTAAAACTATACAGGGTGTCCCAGACTAATCGTATCACCCTTGATAGCAGATGCCTGATTTTTCTCATACGGTAAGTATATAAAAATCAATATGCGATTCGTCTGAGCGCGCGAATTTTTGACAATCTGATTAGTAAACTTTAACACTTCGCATTTACTTTTTGGTATAAAGAATTTCGTATCCAAATCTGCTATTAACAGAAGATACGATTAGTCCGAAACACTCTGTATATGAAGCATTATACAGAAATAAAATTTCGTAATTTAAAATAAGAAAAAAAGATTATAACTTTTTATACAATGTATAAAAAAATAGTAAAAAAGTAAGATTGATAAAAGAAAAAACGTGAAACTTTCTTTCATTGACTCCAAGTAATTTATTAAGTTATTATAAAAAATGTTAAATATGCATGTAATTCCTTTTTTTAAAATGCCAGATTTAATCCTTATAAAAATTAAATGTATGCAAAATTGAATTGGTTTAGCTTTCTCTGATCAACAACAAAATAATTGATAAATCTATTTTAATTTTGGCATTGAATACGTTTTGTTTTTGCATTATTTAATATGCGATCAAAGACACAAAAAGTTAGTTCCTAAATATGTAAGTACGGTCGATTTTTGTGCATTCAATCGCGCATGACTTGGAAAGCATAAAGCGTGAGTCACAACAGTGGAGGTGCTATGATCACACAGTGGACGACGTTAATTCGTGCGATGACTCTCCGGCGTATATTTCTTCCTGCCATTCCTCTTCCGTCCACGGCCGTTCGCTGACGTAGATTGAAAAACCAGTCCCATTATAAATAATTTAAATGCATTGCTCGGGAGCAAAAAGCGAGTGGCAACTCGGCGACGGCGCCGGCAAAATTGATACGACGCGCACTCGACTTTTCTCGCGACGCGAACACCGCTCGCCGAGGTCAATACATTTCCGGCCGTGTGTATGCCTGCTGCGGATTTTATATATTTATTTATTTATTTGCAGGCTCGCCTCTCCACGTTTCCTTCTTTTTCTTCGCTCCGCTATATAAATCCGTCCCGGAGATGAAAGCTTTCACGAGTTTCGATTTCTCTTATCGCTATGAATCAGAAAAGATTACCGTATCAACGTCGAACCAATAAAAAGTGCTTCGTCATTTTTTCTTTTATTTCTGTGTGCTTATAGAAAAAAAAACAAACAACTGGAACAAAAGATGACGCGGGTTCGTCGCAAGCCTTGCAAAAAGCAGACAAATGTGATTTCGTGACTCTGCTACGTGTTTTGCGAGTTAAAGCAAAAAGTTTATCGCTCTATCGACGAGACACGGAATATGGAAACGAAGAACCCAGCAACGCAGTACGCGTTAGACGAGATGAGACGAAATGAGAAGAGAGATAAAGGAGAGAGAAAGAGAGAGAGAGAGAGAGAGAAAGAGAGAGAGCGGAGAAAATACAGTGAGAGTAATGTACGTACGGCAAGAGTACACGCATCGTCAATCTAGTACATGAAAAGAAACCCCCTTTTCTCAATTCCACCGGGTTTCCCCGAAGAATCCTAATCTTCCGGCACGGCGCGGATGTAACGGACGTCGCTTTTCTCGCTCGACAGTCCCCGTCTCGCTCCTCAGTCCCGCACTCGTTCTCCTTTCTTCGCCTGATACACGGCGGAGGCGAGTCGCTAGTCGGATAGAACGGTATAGGCGGCCCCGGCATCGGGATCTCCAGGATTACTATCCTGGAGCCTAATCAACCAGATTGCCTGCAATTTGCTATCCTTATCCTGGCGGTACGCTCCGCGACTATCTTTCTTCCTCTTCCGGCGAAAGACCGGCCTCGCGTCACCGGAGCGGAGGGTTGCTTCGCGAAAGAATACTTCTTTCTCTGCCAGATTCGACTTATGGCGCGCGCGCACGGGAATCTTTGGCGAATTACACGGGATTTCGGTGAATTGGCCCTCTTCATCCTCGAGGCGAGGTCAAAAGAAGAGATAGGTCGCTTTCCACGTGGCGTCGAAATTGCATGAAGTTTGAATAAAGGGACTCCAGTACGATTTCTCGTTCGAATGGACAAGAAAAGCACAATAATTTCGAATTCTCTTGAAATCAACCAATGTACTGTAAAAGTGTTGTCGAAAGCATTGGTAGCTTGTCAAAGTTGAATAAAATTGATCGCTTTTTTGAATTGTTCATAATTACGAATCATAAAAATTGTCAAATAATAAAGCGACAATACTCTCAAAATACAGAATTTTATCAGATTTATTCAACGCATAATTTGTAAAACGCTTTTTTATGTAAAAAAATCGATTCGGTCTATAAAATGCAAAATACACAGAGTGGCTAATGTTGATTATGGAATACACAGTTGGAAGTCCTGCCGCAACTCTTGTCGGTGTGACAAACAATTAAGAATTACGTAACGCATGCGATAATAACTATATATAATTGTTAGATGTAACACTCACCCGCGTTATTACTGGCGAAATTTAGATCCTTACCTGAAACGAAAAAGCAAATATCATTAGCACAATTAAATATCGACGGATAGATAAATACATGATATGAATATCGGATTTCGGATTATGCAAACTGCATTAGAAATGTTTCCGGATTAAATTACGATAATAAACTAAAGCGTCAAAAATATCAAGACTAGGTCAACTGGCGGCGGTCCCCGGATCGATTCTATAAAATTATCTCGTTATATTTTCATATTGAAAAGAAAATTTCTTGGTAAGGTTTTTTTGCAAGAAATAGCTACACTATTAGCAATAATGCGAATATTCAATATATTAATTTCAGTTTATTTTACGGAAAAAATCTGGAGCAACTAAATTTTCTTTCTAAATCAATCTGACATTCTTGAAATGTCATATTCTTGAGCGATTTTCAAGATGATTTTTCTTTCAGAAAAATTTTGTCAAAAGCTTAGTTTTTAAGTTATAATTAAAAATAGTTTGCTTCTCTCTCTCTCTCTTTCTCTCTCTGCGCACGCGAGTGTGTGTGAGTAGCAAACTATTTTGAATTATAACTCAAAAAGCTTCGGACAAAATTTCGTTAAAAGAAAAATCATCTGAGAAATCGCTGAAGAATATGACATTTCAAGGACATACAGGTTGTTTTAAATCACCCTGTATAAGAATGTAATTCAAATTATCTGCGCTTAAAAATTGATATTATTATTAATATAGATATCTCGCTATAAGGCAATGGCTTTTAGAAACAACCCGATTGCGCATTCTGCGAATAGCTTCATTTATTTTCTGCTAAGGCAATGCTCGTAATCCGATTTAATGCTTCCCTTCCGTTATACTTATGGATTAAGCGCAGTTTCAGTGACTTCAGCTGCACACCAAAATGTTCGAATTTAGTTAGACACGCGATCCTTCTTGTTGCGCACATATTATTTCACATAAACCAGCATGTAATTCTACGCGTGAGTAATCTACTCAAATACATGTATGCAAATACGTGTATTGTTCGCTGTTGCATATGATCTCCTGAACAAGTATCCAAGGTATCAAGAAACACGTTCGTAAGCGCCAAACGCGCTTTTCTTTTCTTTTTTCTATTAAATCTCAAATATATTTTGCATTACACGAAAAAATTAAATCTTATGTGTAGAATTTTTTATTTTGAAGGAAATCCTGGAGTCGTCTGCTTTATCGACAAAATATTAATTTTCTACTTCGGGATTATTTTTTTATTGCTTCTATAGAATTACAAATACTTTTGTGGGATTAAAGTACATACGCTAATAGAATAGTAGGTGGGTAATTTCAAACCAAAAAAAGAAGAAATTTGGAAAATTTACCGACAACACAGACAACACGCATGTCTTAAAGACATCTGAAAAACCGGCAAACTGTTTGTTCATATAAAAATTTGTTTTATATAACAGTTATACAGTTTGTATGTACAAAACAAACTCAAGAGCCGAAGAAGAATATATCAAAGAATGAAAGAGGAAACGTTTAAAATTGAGTTTAGAGGTTTAGTCTAAAAAAATACTCCAAAGTCAAATTTATGCAAAATATACATGCAATGTCGAAGACGAAAAAATAGATTAGATTCTGAATATTAGACGTAAAGGCGCCGTACTGTCCGTAAAGCTCTGTTCTTTTACCCATACATCGTATAACGTACGTCACTTTGTATGTGCGTGTGTATAAAAATATATGGTATTTAGTGTTTAGTGTATTGTGGCAGTAGAAAAATAATGGGATAAAAAATCTATCCCTCTCTAGGCACAGACTTGCGAAGAAAACATAGGTAAAGAGGTTAATTATTGTTTTTTGATACTTGAAAGAATTGTTTCAAAAAAATATCAATTGATATTACTTTCTAGTTGTCAATGAGAGAGTCTTCATTATCAACATGATTTTGAAACAATTCCCAAAATAAAGCCAGAAGTGGTCCACTCGTGGGCTGATATTTTTAATAAATAAAGCCAAAGGCAATCTAACGTGGGCAGGCAATTTTTTATATGTAAAGCCAGAGATGGTTTACTCGTGGACTGGCATTTTTTAATAAAAATAAAACCAGAGGTGATCTAACATCGGCTGACAATTTTTATAAAATAGAGTCAGAGGCGATCTAACGTGGATTGGCATTTTTAATAAATAAAACCGGAGACGATCTAATGTGGGTTGACAATTTCATAAATAAAGACGATCAGAGACGGTCTATTCATAAGCTGATATTTTTAATAAATAATGCCAGAAACGATGTAACGTGAACTGGCATCTTTAAAGAAATATGTGTTTATTTTGTTAGTAATTTACTACACTGACGTGTGGTCTGTGTATTATCGGAAGGTTTTATAAAGTTCATACTTTTTTTCTCGAAATTCTATCGTAGGATCTTGTATATGCGTATTTCATGACGTATGTATATTATATTGCAGTCTTATGATGGAATTTCGGTCAAGTAAAGATGTGTGTGTCGTTTGTTTACAAACCATTCGATGACACATGCACACATCAGTGATCATCAACGACACACATCAGAGACCACACATCAGTGTAGTGAATTACTAACAACAACGTACGTATACACAGACATTGCGTCGGTAATGTCAATATCATAATTAGTTTCATCTAAATAATGATAAATGAGCTTTCGCGTTTAAGTTCGGCGGGCACTCCGGAATCCCCTTAATCGGCGCCCGTTTCTGATATCACATTTCGTAGGAATAAATACGACACCGGGAATAAGAACATCAGGAAAGAATCTACCGCAAATTCTTTCTACAGAAATACATATGTATAAACGTTGTAATAAGTTTTCAGTGATTATTATTCCAGATAGCACGTTTTATATACGTTTCTTAAACGTTTCATATATGAATACATTGGATACGTTTAGGAAACGTATATGAAACGGACATGTGCTACCTGGGACACTGTTTGTCGATAATAAAGTTAACATTAAATATATTGTATGACAACGTCTCTAACAGTAAAAAAGTCCCAGCGACATCACAGTGACATCATATTATGATGTCACTAAGACGTTTCTTGTTATGGGAGATATCTAGGATTAAGCCAAATCCACAATAGGTGCAGTAAGCTTTAAGCCATAAGAAATCGACTAATCATAGTCAATTATTCTTCATACATTCGTCTGTGATTGGATAATTTCTTACGGCTTAAAGCTTACTACATCTGTCGTAGATCCGGTCTTAATCTTCTAATTTTCAAATCGCGCGTTATACAGGGTGTCCCACAACTCCGCAACAGCGGAAAGGGGCATATTCCTGACAAAGAATAGATTCATAATACATAAAAATTAATGCTTAGGCTATAAAATTGTAGGAGTAATTAAGGCGACTAGGCAGTCAAATCGCTGAAGAATAAAGACTTTTTTTGTGAGTCAATTGCAAAGAAATAAAAGCAAACCCAGATTTATCCTTTTACCCAATGTTTATTGCTATCATATAAATTGAAAAAAAATTGGTATTATATATATATTTAAAAAATGACGTAACAAAGAGATAACCATACGCAAATTTTTAAAAATTTTGTTTTACTTTTGTAGCGATACAGAGTTTAAAAAGTGAGATATCGACAGTTTTCTTGCGAGATGTTGTTTATCAGACTCGTAGTTTCCTACCAAACCTAAAAAAAACAGAAATTGGAACAAAATTATTAAAATGGCGGCCAAAAAACGGCGATTTTTTCGAAAAAATACTTTTTTGTAATAAAAAAACGCGACTTTTCAATTTTTTTGGAAAAACTAGAATTTTTACAGACTATATCGGAGACTTGGCGGGAAATGACACGTTTTATACATCCTAGAATTTTTTCAAATTGATCTGAACCTCCGTCTATTCGTAATCAGGGCAAAACTAAAAGAAAAAAAAGTTTCGAGAAAAACGTGTTTAAAGTTTTGAAGGATTCCAAAGTATTATTATTAATACACACTTCGAAGCCGTGCGCCGCTCGACCTTTTCGGCTGCCAAATCGGTAATTTTGCGAATTCCGACATCTACCAAGCGGCATTTTATTCAGAAAGGATAGCACTTTCGAAAAATGCAATTAAAAAATCGATTTTTTGACTGCCTAATCCCCTTAAAGGTTGAAAGTGACCAATAGAAGAGCACAAAACGCGACGCTTTTATTTGGAAATTTAGTAAATGCTCGTGACAAGTATAAAAAAAAATGGAAAAATGGTTCTATAAGAGTTAATTGTAGTAAAAATAAATATGCGACAAGTCACATGAAAATAATGCACTATATTTTTATTAGCTTATATCTGGAAAGACAATATTAATATTTCCACATTTTTGTGTGAAAAAAGAAAAGATCAATTTTGGATGAATAAGATTCTGGCGCACAGTCTATATCGCCTTTATATATATTATAAAAACGCGGTATCACAGTTGGTAGTGCCACGAATTAAAATACGACTGGCATAATGCATGTGACTGGCCGTAAAATTCCGAGAGAGGCAACTCGATGCAATATTTACATGGTAATGGATCTTGGGAATTCGCGACGTTTTTCCCTTTCATGATAAGGGATGCACCGTCGTCTGCAAAAGCTCGTATGCTCTGAGATTCGTAGATCTTCACAGTGGATCTCAACTTCCGCCCCTCCGGTTTTTCGTGCCGTGGAACGCACCGGAAGTCGTTTCTCGGGTATTTTAAGCTCCGCGGCATCCGACCACGAAATATATATTAAATCCGGTTGTTTTATTCATGCGAGAAGGAGAGACTTCCGCGGCAATAGTAGTAGTGCACTTTTTGATAGCGATTCCCTTTATGGATGCTTGTGAAGGAAAAATGTCCCGCAGGATCAGTCTCAGAATACGGAGATCTGGACGAAAAGAGAGAAAAATTTGCGAGACGATGATGACGAGACGAGAAGTATCTCGAAACGTCCGATAGTAGCCGTCACTTTGAGAGAATATCAGCGGAGGCTGCTCTTTTCCACGCGAAATCGCGGGTCATCGACGGAATAGCTAGTGTTTGCTGTTCACTTGCGTTGCGCTTGCT